TGGTTTGGGGGGGTTTTTGGGGTGGGTTTTGGGGGGGGTTTTGGGGGTGGAAGTTATGGGGTGGGTTTGGGGGTGGAAGTTATGGGGTGGGTTTGGGGGGGTTTTGGGGGGGTTTGGGGGTGGAAGTTATGGGGTGGGTTTGGGGGGGGTTTGGGGGGCTTTTGGTTGTTTTGGGGGGTTTTGGGGTGTTTGTGGGTATATGTGGGTGTTTGGGGGGGTTGGGGGTGTTTTTAGGGTTTTTTGGGGTGGTTTGGGGTGGTTTGGGGTATATGTGGGTGTTTGGGGGTGGTTTTGGGTGGATTTGGGGTGGTTTTGGGTGGGTTTTGGAGGGTTTGGGGTGGTTGGGGGTGGTTTGGGGTCTTTTGGGGGTGGTTTTGGTTGTTTTGGGGTGGTTTTGGGGTGATTTGGGGTGTTTGGGGGTGGTTTGGGGTGGATTTGGGGTGGTTTTGGGTGGGTTTCGGAGCGTTTGGGGTGGTTTGGGGTCTTTTGGGGGGGTTGGTTGCTTTGGGGTGTTTTGGGGGGTTGGGGGTGTTTTGGGGCTGGTTTTGGGTGTTTTTGGGGTGGTTTGGGGTATATCTGGGTGTTTTTGGGGTGGTTTGGGGTATATCTGGGTGTTTTTGGGGTGGTTTGGGGTATATCTGGGTGTTTTGGGGTGGTTTTGGGGTGGTTTGGGGTATAGGTGGGTGTTTTGGGGGTGGTTCTGGGGTGGTTTTGGGGTGGTTTGGGGTGTTCTTGGGTGTTTTGGGGCTGTTTTGGGTGGTTTTTGGGGTGTTTTTGGGGTATTTTGGGGGTGGTTTTGGGGGTTTTTCGGGCTGTTTTGGGTGGGTTTTTGGTGTTTTGGGCTGTTTTGGGTGTTTTGGGGGTGTTTTTGGGTGGTTTTTGGGTGTTTTCGGGTGTTTTCATGCTGTTTTGGGTGGTTTTTAGGTGTTTTCGGGTTTTTGGGGCTGTTTTGGGTGGTTTTTGGGGTGTTTCTGGGGTGTTTTGGGGTGTTTCTGGGGTGTTTCTGGGTGTTTTGGGGTGTTTCTGGGGTGTTTCTGGGTGTTTTATGGTGTTTCTGGGTGTTTTTGGGGTATTTTGGGGGTGTTTTTGGGGTGTTTCTGGGTGTTTTTAGGTGTTTTTTGGTGTTTCTAGGTGTTTTTGGGGTGTTTCTGGGTGTTTTTTGGTGTTTCGGGGTGTTTTTGGGGTATTTTGGGGGTGTTTTTGGGGTGTTTCTGGGTGGTTTTTGGTTTTTTTTTTGGTGTTTCTAGGTGTTTCTGGGTGTTTTTGGGGTGTTTCTGGGTGTTTTTGGGGTGTTTCTGGGTGGTTTTTGGTGTTTCTGGGTGTTTTTGGGGCTGTTTCTGGGTGTTTTTGGGGTGTTTCTGGGTGTTTTTTGGGTGTTTCTCGGTGTTTTTGGGGTGTTTCTGGGTGTTTTTGGTGTTTCTGGGTGTTTTTGGGGTATTTTGGGGGTGTTTTGGGATGTTTCTGGGTGTTTTTGGGGTATTTTGGGGTGTTTCTGGGTGCTTTTTGGGTGTTTCTGGGTGTTTTTGGTGTTTCTGGGTGTTTTTGGGGTATTTTGGGATGTTTTTGGGGTGTTTCTGGGTGTTTTCGGGTGTTTTTGGGGTGTTTCTGGGTGTTTTTTGGGTGTTTCTGGGTGTTTCTGGGTATTTTGGGGTGTTTCTGGGTGTTTTTTGGGTGTTTCTGGGTGTTTTTGGGGTATTTTGGGGGTGTTTTTGGGGTTTTTCTGGGTGTTTTTTGGTGTTTCTGGGTGTTTTTGGGGTGTTTTGGGGGTATTTTGGGGGTGTTTTTGGGGGTTTTTCTGGTTTTTTTTGGTGTTTCTGGGTGTTTTTGGGGTATTTTGGGGGTGTTTTGGGGGTTTTTCTGGGTGTTTTTGGGGTGTTTTTGGGGTATTTTGGGGGTGTTTTTGGGGTGCCCTCACGTATTTGGCGAAGAAGGAGCGCTGCTCCTGCGGGTTCCGGGCGCGCTGAGCCTGCTCCTGCTCCAGGTGCCGGATGAACGCCGCAGTCTCGGGGCTGGGGGGGGCAATGGGGAGGGGTCACGGGCACCCCAAAACCTGACCCCCCCATTGATCCCATCCACACCCCATTGATCCCACCCACACCCCATTGATCCCACCCCCACCCCATCGATCCCATCCCACCCCATTGATCCCATCCCCACCCCATTGATCCCATCCCACCCCATTGATCCCATCCCCACCCCATTGATCCTCTCCCCCCATCCCCACCCCATTGATCCCACCCCACCCCATTGATCCCATCCCACCCCATTGATCCCATCCCCACCCCATTGATCCCATCCCACCCCACTGATCCCATCCCCACCCCATTGATCCCATCCCACCCCACTGATCCCATCCCCACCCCATTGATCCCATCCCACCCCATTGATCCCATCCCACCCCATTGATCCTCTCCCCCATCCCCACCCCATTGATCCCATCCCACCCCATTGATCCCATCCCCACCCCATTGATCCCACCCCACCCATTGATCCCATCCCACCCCACTGATCCCATCCCCACCCCATTGATCCCATCCCCACCCCATTGATCCCATCCCACCCCATTGATCCCATCCCACCCCATTGATCCCATCCCACCCCACTGATCCCATCCCACCCCATTGATCCCATCCCCACCCCATTGATCCCATCCCACCCCACTGATCCCACCCCACCCCATTGATCCCACCCCACCCCATTGATCCCATCCCCACCCCATTGATCCCACCCCACCCCACTGATCCCACCCCACCCCATTGATCCCATCCCCACCCCATTGATCCCACCCCCACCCCATTGATCCCATCCCCACCCCATTGATCCCATCCCCACCCCATTGATCCCATCCCACCCCATTGATCCCATCCCACCCCATTGATCCCACCCCACCCCACTGATCCCACCCCACCCCATTGATCCCATCCCCACCCCATTGATCCCATCCCACCCCACTGATCCCACCCCACCCCATTGATCCCACCCCACCCCATTGATCCCTCTCACCCCATTGATCCCATCCCCACCCCATCGATCCCATCCCCACCCCATTGATCCCATCCCACCCCATTGATCCCACCCCACCCCATTGATCCCCTCTCACCCCATTGATCCCATCCCCACCCCATTGATCCCATCCCCACCCCATCGATCCCATCCCACCCCATTGATCCCATCCCACCCCACTGATCCCATCCCCACCCCATTGATCCCATCCCACCCCATTGATCCCATCCCACCCCATTGATCCCACCCCACCCCATTGATCCCATCCCACCCCATTGATCCCACCCCACCCCATTGATCCCATCCCCACCTCATTGATCCCATCCCCACCCCATTGATCCCCTCTCACCCCATTGATCCCACCCCACCCCATTGATCCCATCCCACCCCATTGATCCCATCCCACCCCATTGATCCCCTCTCACCCCATTGATCCCATCCCACCCCATTGATCCCATCCCCACCCCATTGATCCCATCCCACCCCATTGATCCCATCCCCACCCCATTGATCCCCTCTCACCCCATTGATCCCACCCCACCCCATTGATCCCATCCCACCCCATTGATCCCCTCTCACCCCATTGATCCCACCCCACCCCATTGATCCCATCCCACCCCATTGATCCCATCCCACCCCATTGATCCCACCCCACCCCATTGATCCCATCCCCACCCCATTGATCCCACCCCACCCCATTGATCCCATCCCCACCCCATTGATCCCATCCCCACCCCATTGATCCCACCCCACCCCATTGATCCCATCCCACCCCATTGATCCCACCCCACCCCATTGATCCCATCCCCACCCCATTGATCCCATCCCCACCCCATTGATCCCCTCTCACCCCATTGATCCCATCCCCACCCCATTGATCCCATCCCACCCCATTGATCCCATCCCACCCCATTGATCCCATCCCCACCCCATTGATCCCATCCCACCCCATTGATCCCATCCCCACCCCACTGATCCCACCCCACCCCATTGATCCCATCCCACCCCATTGATCCCACCCCACCCCATTGATCCCACCCCCACCCCACTGATCCCATCCCCCCCCCATTGATCCCATCCCCACCCCATTGATCCCACCCCACCCCACTGATCCCATCCCCACCCCATTGATCCCATCCCCACCCCATTGATCCCACCCCACCCCACTGATCCCATCCCCACCCCATTGATCCCATCCCACCCCATTGATCCCATCCCCACCCCATTGATCCCATCCCCACCCCATTGATCCCATCCCACCCCATTGATCCCATCCCCACCCCATTGATCCCATCCCACCCCATTGATCCCACCCCACCCCACTGATCCCATCCCCACCCCATTGATCCCACCCCACCCCATTGATCCCACCCCACCCCATTGATCCCATCCCCACCCCATTGATCCCACCCCACCCCATTGATCCCACCCCACCCCATTGATCCCATCCCCACCCCATTGATCCCATCCCCACCCCATTGATCCCATCCCACCCCATTGATCCCACCCCACCCCATTGATCCCACCCCACCCCATTGATCCCATCCCACCCCATTGATCCCACCCCACCCCATTGATCCCATCCCCACCCCATTGATCCCATCCCACCCCATTGATCCCACCCCACCCCATTGATCCCATCCCACCCCATTGATCCCATCCCACCCCATTGATCCCACCCCACCCCATTGATCCCATCCCACCCCATTGATCCCATCCCCACCCCATTGATCCCACCCCCACCCCATTGATCCCATCCCACCCCATTGATCCCATCCCCACCCCATTGATCCTCTCCCCCCATCCCCACCCCATTGACCCCATCCCCACCCCATTGATCCCATCCCCACCCCATTGATCCCATCCCCACCCCATTGATCCCATCCCACCCCATTGATCCCATCCCCACCCATTGATCCCCTCTCACCCCACTGATCCCATCCCACCCCATTGATCCCATCCCCACCCCATTGATCCCATCCCACCCCATTGACCCCATCCCCACCCCATTGATCCCATCCCCACCCCATTGATCCCATCCCCACCCCATTGATCCCATCCCACCCCATTGATCCCATCCCCCACCCCATTGATCCCCTCTCACCCCACTGATCCCATCCCACCCCATTGATCCCATCCCCACCCCATTGATCCCATCCCACCCCATTGATCCCATCCCCACCCCATTGATCCCATCCCCACCCCATTGATCCCATCCCACCCCATTGATCCCATCCCACCCCATTGATCCCACCCCACCCCATTGATCCCATCCCACCCCACTGATCCCATCCCCACCCCACTGATCCCATCCCCACCCCATTGATCCCACCCCACCCCATTGATCCCATCCCACCCCATTGATCCCATCCCCACCCCATTGATCCCCTCTCACCCCATTGATCCCCTCTCACCCCATTGATCCCATCCCCACCCCATTGATCCCCTCTCACCCCACTGATCCCATCCCACCCCATTGATCCCATCCCCACCCCATTGATCCCATCCCACCCCATTGATCCCATCCCACCCCATTGATCCCACCCCACCCCACTGATCCCATCCCCACCCCATTGATCCCATCCCCACCCCATTGATCCCCTCTCACCCCATTGATCCCATCCCACCCCATTGATCCCATCCCCACCCCATTGATCCCATCCCCACCCCATTGATCCACCCCCACCCCATTGATCCATCCCCACCCCATTGATCCCACCCCCACCCCATTGATCCCATCCCCACCCCACTGATCCCACCCCACCCCATTGATCCCATCCCACCCCATTGATCCCATCCCACCCCATTGATCCCACCCCACCCCATTGATCCCACCCCACCCCATTGATCCCCTCTCACCCCATTGATCCCCCCATTGATTCTCACCCCACAGCAGGCAGGGGCTGTCTCAGCACCACGCTGCTGTTGAAGAGCTCCAGGTCCCGATCCGGTACCGGGGAGCCCCGGCAGGAGCCCGGCGCCGCCACCACCAAAGCCAAAGCCACCACGTTCCCGGCCACGTCCACGTGCACCGAGAGCTCGTCCGAGAGGCGGGACTCGAGCAGGGAGCACTGGGGGGGGAAAGGGGGGATGGGGGTATAGGGGGTGTGGGGGGGATGGGGGGTGTTTGGGGGTATAGGGGGGATGGGGGGGGAAAGGGGGTGTGGGGGTGTGGGGAGGATGGGGGGTGTGTGGGGGGATGGGGGTGTGGGGGGGGTGTGGGGGGTGTGTGGAGGATGGGGGTTGTGGGGGGTATGGGGGGTATGGGGGTATTGCGGGTATGGGGGATGTGGGGAGGATGGGGGGGATGGGGGGATGGGGGGTGTGGGATGTATGGGGGGTGTGGGGGGTGTGGGGGTATGGGGGGTGTGGGGGATATTGGGGGTATGGGGGGTGTGGTTGTATGGGGGGTATGGGGGGAATGGGGGTATTGGGGGTATGGGGGATGTGGGGAGGATGGGGGGTATGGGGGTGTGGGGGGGATGGGGGGTATGGGGGGTGTGGGGGGGATCGGGATTGTGGGGGGTGTGGGGGGGATGGGGGGGGATGGGGGGATGGGGGGTGTGGGGGGTATGGGGGGTGTGGGGGGTGTGGGGGGTGTGGGGGGGTGTGGGGGGTGTGGGGGTGTGGGGGGTGTGGGGGTATGTGGGGTGTAGGGGGTATGGGGGGTGTGGGGGGGATAGGGGGTGTGGGGGGTATGGGGGTATTGGGGGTATGGGGGATGTGGGGAGAATGGGGGGGATGGGGGTATGGGGGGTGTGGGGGTATAGGGGGATGGGGGGTGTGGGGTGTGTGGGGGTATAGGGGGGATGGGGGGGGAAAGGGGGTATGGGGGGGTATAGGGGGTGTGGGGGGTATGAGGGGTGTGGGGAGGATGGGGGGTATTGGGGGTGATGGGGGGGATGGGGGGATGGGAGGGGAAAGGGGGTATGGGGGTTATAGGGGGTGTAGGGGGTATGGGGGGGATGGGGAGTATAGGGGGTATGGGGGGGTTTGGGGGGTGTGGGGGGTGTGGGGTGTATGGGGGGTGTGGGGGTATATGGGGTATAGGGGGATATAGGGGATATAAGGGGTAGAGGGGGTATTGTGAATATAGGGGATATAGGGAATATAGGGGATAAAGGGGGTATAGGGGGTATAGGGGGTATAGGGGTTATGGGGGATGTGGGTATGGGATATATGGGATAAAGGGGATATAGAAGTTATAGGAGATATAAGGGATATGGAATACATAAAATATAGAAATATATGGGATATGGGGGATGTAGAAGATTATGGAATATATGGGATATGGAATATATAGGGTATACGGGATATATGGGATAATGGGATATATGGGATATGGGATATATAGGGTATATGGAATATATGAGATAAATGGGATATATGGGATATGGGATATATAGGGTATATGGAATATATGAGATAAATGGGATATATGGGATATATGGCATATAGGGTATATGGGGATAATGGGATAAATGGGATATATGGGATAGGATATATAGGGTATATGGTATGGGTATAGGGTATGGGATAGAGGAATGGGAATATGCAAATCCAGGAAGATGGGATACAGAACATGGTCGTATGGATATGGGATGTGGAACATGGGAATATGGAGACATGGGATAGGGGAGACAAGGATACGGGATGTGGGATACGGGATATATGGGATATGGGATGTGGGATGTGGGATACAAGGGTATGGGATATGGGATGTGGGATGTGGGATATGGGATGTGGGATATGGGATGTGGGATGTGGGATATGGGATGTGGGATGTGGACCATGGGAATATGGAGATATGGGATAGGGGAGACAAGGATGCGGGATGTGGGATATGGGATGTGGGATGTGGGATATGGGATGTGGGATGTGGGATATGGGATATATGGGATGTGGGATGTAGGATGTGGGATATGGGATATATGGGATGTGGGATGTGGGATATGGGATGTGGGATGTGGGATACGGGATATATGGGATGTGGGATGTGGGATATGGGATGTGGGATATGGGATATATGGGATGTGGGATGTGGGATATATGGGATATGGGATGTGGGATATGGGATGTGAGATATATGGGATATGGGATGTGGGATATATGGGATATGGGATGTGGGATATGGGTTGTGAGATATATGGGATATGGGATGTGGGATATATGGGATACGGGATATGGGATGTGGGATATGGGATATGGGATACAGGATATGGGATATGGGATGTGGGATATGGGATATATGGGATGTGGGATATGGGATACGGGATGTGGGATATGAATATATGGGATATGGGATGTGGGACACAGGATATGGGACATGGGATGTGGGATATGGGATACAGGATATATGGCATGCAGGATATGGGGTATGGGATATATGGGATGTGGGATATATGGGATACGGGATACAGGATATGAGATATGGAATATATGGAATATGAGATATATGGGATATGGAATATATGGGATATATGGGATATGGGATATGGGATGTGGGATATGGGATACAGGATATATGGGATATGGAATATATGGGATATATGGGATATGGGATATGGGATATATGGGATATATGGGATATGGGATATATGGGATATGGGATATGGGATGTGGGATATGGGATATGGGATATATGGGATATGGGATATAGGATATATGGGATATATGGGATATATGGGATATGGGATATATGGGATATGGGATATGGGATGTGGGATATGGGATATATGGGATATGGGATACAGGATATATGGGATATGGGATACGGGATATATGGGATATGGGATATAGGATATATGGGATATATGGGATATATGGGATATGGGATATATGGGATATATGAGATATGGGATATATGGGATATGGGATATGGGATATATGGGATATATGGGGTATGGGATATGGGATATATGGGATATATGGGATATGGGATATGGGATATATGGGATATATGGGATATATGGGATATGGGATATGGGGTATGGGATATATGGGATATGGGATATATGGGATATGGGATACAGGATATATGGGATATGGGATATATGGGATATGGGATATGGGATATGGGATGTGGGATGTGGGGCACAGGCTGTGGGTCCCCGCTCCCATCAGCGCCCCCCAACTGACCGCGCGCACGAAGGAGGTCACGTGAGAGCCCGCGGGGTCCTCGCCGGGTCCCGGCGCCCGCCTGGGGATGCGCACGCGGTACAGCCCGTCCCTGGCGGCCACCTCCTGCGAGCAGCGGGACCCCTCACCCCATGGCCGCTATGGGTCACCCCATAACCAACATCACCCCTATGGGTCACCCCATAACCAACATCACCCCTATGGGTCACCCCATAACCGACATCACCCCTATGGGTCACCCCATAACCGACATCACCCCATGGCCGCTATGGGGCCAGCCCATAACCGACATCACCCCATGGCCGCTATGGGTCACCCCATAACCGACATCACCCCTATGGGTCACCCCATAACCGACATCACCTCTATGGGTCACCCCATAACCAACATCACCCCTATGGGTCACCCCATAACCAACATCACCCCTATGGGTCACCCCATAACCAACATCACCCCTATGGGTCACCCCATAACCGACATCACCTCTATGGGTCACCCCATAACCAACATCACCCCTATGGGTCACCCCATAACCAACATCACCCCTATGGGTCACCCCATAACCAACATCACCCCTATGGGTCACCCCATAACCGACATCACCCCATGGCCGCTATGGGTCACCCCATAACCAACATCACCCCTATGGGTCACCCCATAACCGACATCACCCCACGGCCGCTATGGGTCACCCCATAACCAACATCACCCCTATGGGTCACCCCATAACCGACATCACCCCTATGGGTCACCCCATAACCAACATCACCCCTATGGGTCACCCCATAACCAACATCACCCCTATGGGTCACCCCATAACCAACATCACCCCATGGCCGCTATGGGTCACCCCATAACCAACATCACCCCTATGGGTCACCCCATAACCGACATCACCCCTATGGGTCACCCCATAACCGACATCACCCCTATGGGTCACCCCATAACCAACATCACCCCTATGGGTCACCCCATAACCGACATCACCCCTATGGGTCACCCCATAACTGACATCACCCCTATGGGTCACCCCATAACCGACATCACCCCTATGGGTCACCCCATAACCGACATCACCCCTATGGGTCACCCCATAACCAACATCACCCCTATGGGTCACCCCATAACCAACATCACCTCTATGGGTCACCCCATAACCAACATCACCTCTATGGGTCACCCCATAACCAACATCACCCCTATGGGTCACCCCATAACCGACATCACCTCTATGGGTCACCCCATAACCGACATCACTCCTATGGGTCACCCCATAACCAACATCACCCCATGGCCGCTATGGGGCCAGCCCATAACCGACATCACCCCTATGTGTCACCCCATAACCAACATCACCCCACGGCCGCTATGGGTCACCCCATAACCGACATCACCCCTATGGGTCACCCCATAACCAACATCACCCCATGGCCGCTATGGGTCACCCCATAACCGACATCACCCCTATGGGTCACCCCATAACCGACATCACCCCTATGGGTCACCCCATAACCAACATCACCCCTATGGGTCACCCCATAACCAACATCACCCCATGGCCGCTATGGGTCACCCCATAACCGACATCACCCCATGGCCGCTATGGGTCACCCCATAACCGACATCACCCCTATGGGTCACCCCATAACCAACATCACCCCTATGGGTCACCCCATAACCGACATCACCCCTATGGGTCACCCCATAACCAACATCACCTCTATGGGTCACCCCATAACCAAAATCACCTCTATGGGTCACCCCATAACCAACATCACCCCTATGGGTCACCCCATAACCGACATCACCTCTATGGGTCACCCCATAACCGACATCACTCCTATGGGTCACCCCATAACCAACATCACCCCATGGCCGCTATGGGGCCAGCCCATAACCGACATCACCCCTATGGGTCACCCCATAACCAACATCACCCCACGGCCGCTATGGGTCACCCCATAACCGACATCACCCCTATGGGTCACCCCATAACCAACATCACCCCATGGCCGCTATGGGTCACCCCATAACCGACATCACCCCTATGGGTCACCCCATAACCGACATCACCCCTATGGGTCACCCCATAACCAACATCACCCCTATGGGTCACCCCATAACCAACATCACCCCATGGCCGCTATGGGTCACCCCATAACCGACATCACCCCATGGCCGCTATGGGTCACCCCATAACCGACATCACCCCTATGGGTCACCCCATAACCAACATCACCCCTATGGGTCACCCCATAACCGACATCACCCCTATGGGTCACCCCATAACCAACATCACCTCTATGGGTCACCCCATAACCGACATCACCCCTATGGGTCACCCCATAACCGACATCACCCCTATGGGTAACCCCATAACCACCGTCACCCCTATGGGTCACCCCATAACCAACGTCACCCCTATGGGTCACCCCATAACCAACATCACCCCTATGGGTCACCCCATAACCGACATCACCTCTATGGGTCACCCCATAACCAACATCACCCCTATGGGTCACCCCATAACCGACATCACCTCTATGGGTCACCCCATAACCAACATCACCCCTATGGGTCACCCCATAACCGACATCACCCCTATGGGTCACCCCATAACCGACATCACCTCTATGGGTCACCCCATAACCAACATCACTCCTATGGGTCACCCCATAACCGACATCACCCCTATGGGTCACCCCATAACCACCATCACCCCTATGGGTCACCCCATAACCGACATCACCCCTATGGGTCACCCCATAACCAACATCACCCCTATGGGTCACCCCATAACCGACATCACCCCTATGGGTCACCCCATAACCAACATCACCCCACGGCCGCTATGGGTCACCCCATAACCAACATCACCCCTATGGGTCACCCCATAACCGACATCACCCCTATGGGTCACCCCATAACCAACATCACCTCTATGGGTCACCCCATAACCGACATCACCCCTATGGGTCACCCCATAACCAACATCACCTCTATGGGTCACCCCATAACCGACATCACCCCTATGGGTCACCCCATAACCAACATCACCCCTATGGGTCACCCCATAACCGACATCACCCCTATGGGTCACCCCATAACCAACATCACCCCATGGCCGCTATTGGGTCACCCCATAACCAACATAACCCCTATGGGTCACCCCATAACCAACATCACCCCTATGGGTCACCCCATAACCGACATCACCTCTATGGGTCACCCCATAACCAACATCACCCCTATGGGGTCACCCCATAACCGACATCACCTCTATGGGTCACCCCATAACCAACATCACCCCTATGGGTCACCCCATAGCCAACATCACCCCTATGGGTCACCCCATAACCAACATCACCCCATGGCCGCTATGGGGCCAGCCCATAACCGACATCACCCCTATGGGTCACCCCATAACCAACATCACCCCACGGCCGCTATGGGTCACCCCATAACCAACATCACCCCTATGGGTCACCCCATAACCAACATCACCCCATGGCCGCTATGGGGCCAGCCCATAACCTACATCACCCCTATGGGTCACCCCATAACCAACATCACCCCACGGCCGCTATGGGTCACCCCAAAACCAACATCACCCCTATGGGTCACCCCATAACCAACATCACCCCATGGCCGCTATGGGTCACCCCATAACCAACATCACCCCACGGCCGCTATGGGGCCAGCCCATAACCAACGTCACCCCTATGGGTCACCCCATAACCGACATCACCCCTATGGGTCACCCCATAACCACCATCACCCCTATGGGTCACCCCATAACCAACATCACCCCTATGGGTCACCCCATAACCGACATCACCCCTATGGGTCACCCCATAACCAACATCACCTCTATGGGTCACCCCATAACCGACATCACCCCTATGGGTCACCCCATAACCAACATCACCTCTATGGGTCACCCCATAACCGACATCACCCCTATGGGTCACCCCATAACCGACATCACCCCATGGCCGCTATGGGGCCAGCCCATAACCAACATCACCCCTATGGGTCACCCCATAACCAACATCACCCCATGGCCGCTATGGGTCACCCCATAACCAACATCACCTCTATGGGTCACCCCATAACCAACATCACCCCATGGCCGCTATGGGTCACCCCATAACCAACATCACCCCTATGGGTCACCCCATAACCGACATCACCCCTATGGGTCACCCCATAACAAACATCACCCCTATGGGTCACCCCATAACCGACATCACCCCTATGGGTCACCCCATAACCAACATCACCCCTATGGGTCACCCCATAACCGACATCACCCCTATGGGTCACCCCATAACCAACATCACCTCTATGGGTCACCCCATAACCAACATCACCCCTATGGGTCACCCCATAACCGACATCACCCCATGGCCGCTATGGGTCACCCCATAACCAACATCACCTCTATGGGTCACCCCATAACCAACATCACCTCTATGGGTCACCCCATAACCAACATCACCCCTATGGGTCACCCCATAACCACCGTCACCCCTATGGGTCACCCCATAACCACCATCACCCCATGGCCGCTATGGGGCCAGCCCATAACCACCGTCACCCCTATGGGTCACCCCATAACCACCGTCACCCCACAGCCGCTATGGGTCACCCCATAACCACCATCACCCCTATGGGTCACCCCATAACCACCATCACCCCTATGGGCCACCCCATAACCACCGTCACCCCATGGACGCTATGGGTCACCCCATAACCACCATCACCCTTTGGCCGCTATGGGGCCAGTCCATAACCACCATCACCCCCCATTGCCCCCTATGGGGTTTTCCCACCACCCCTATGGGGCACCCCCATCACCCCTATGGGGTTACCCCCATCACCCCTATGGGGTTACCCCCTATGGGGCGCCCCCATCACCCCTATGGGGTTACCCCCTATGGGTTACCCCCATCACCCCTATGGGGTTACCCCCTATGGGGCGCCCCCATCACCGCTATGGGGTTACCCCCTATGGGTTACCCCCATCACCCCTATGGGGTTACCCCCACCACCCCTATGGGGTTACCCCCTATGGGGCGCCCCCACCACCCCTATGGGGTTACCCCCTATGGGGCGCCCCCATCACCCCTATGGGGTTACCCCATCACCCCATGGGGTTACCCCCTATGGGGCGTCCCCATCACCCCTATGGGGTTACCCCCATCACCCCTATGGGGTTACCCCCTATGGGGCGCCCCCATCACCCCTATGGGGTTACCCCCATCACCCCTATGGGGTTACCCCCTATGGGGCGCCCCCATCACCCCTATGGGGTTACCCCCATCACCCCTATGGGGTTACCCCCTATGGGGCGCCCCCATCACCCCTATGGGGTTACCCCCATCACCCCTATGGGGTTACCCCCTATGGGGCGCCCCCACCACCCCTATGGGGTTACCCCCTATGGGGCGCCCCCACCACCCCTATGTGGTTACCCCCTATGGGGCGCCCCCACCACCCCTATGGGGTTACCCCCTATGGGGCGCCCCCACCACCCCTATGGGGTTACCCCCTATGGGGCGCCCCCATCATCCCTATGGGGTTACCCCCTATGGGGCGCCCCCACCACCCCTATGGGGTTACCCCCTATGGGGCGTCCCCATCACCCCTATGGGGTTACCCCCTATGGGGCGCCCCCACCACCCCTATGGGGTTATCCCCTATGGGGCGCCCCCATCACCCCTATGGGGTTACCCCCTATGGGGCGCCCCCATCACCCCTATGGGGTTACCCCCATCACCCCTATGGGGTTATCCCCTATGGGGCGCCCCACATACCCGCAGTTGGTTGCGCTCCTCCTCCGTGAGCTGCTTCTGTGCCAGGCTCAGCCCCAGCTCGGGCCCGGGGGTCCAGGTCAGGGTCCCCCGGCGGCGGAAGCGGGGGGCATCGTCTGCAGGGGGGCAATGGGGCAATGGGGGGACAATGGGGGCAATGGGGGTAATGGGGGTAATGGGGGCAATGGGGGACAATGGGGGTAATGGGGGCAATGGGGGCAATGAGGCAATGGGGGCAATGGGGGCAATGGGGCAATGGGGGGACAATGGGGGCAATGGGGCAATGGGGGCAATGGGGGCAATGGGGCAATGGGGGCAATGGGGGCAATGGGGACAATGGGGACAATGGGGGGACAATGGGGGCAATGGGGCAATGGGGGGACAATGGGGGCAATGGGGCAATGGGGGTAATGGGGCAATGGGGGCAATGGGGGCAATGGGGCAATGGGGGGACAATGGGGGCAATGGGGCAATGGGGGCAATGGGGACAATGGGGACAATGGGGGGACAATGGGGATAATGGTGGCACAATGGGGGGACAATGGGGATAATGGGGGCAATGGGGGCACAATGGGGAGACAATGGGGGCACAATGGGGATAATGGGGGCAATGGGGGTAATGGGGGCACAATGGGGGCACAATGGGGGGACAATGGGGGTATAATGGGGGCAATGGGGGCACAATGGGGACACAATGGGGGCAATGGGAAGACAATGGGGGCACAATGGGGGCAATGGGGGCACAATGGGGCCAATGTGGGCACAATGGGGGAACAACAGGACCAACGGGGGCACAATGGGGATCAATGGGGGCACAATGGGGAGACAATGGAGGCAATGGGGAGACAATGGGGGCACAATGGGGGACCAATGGGAGCCCCCCATATTGGGGGGTGCGTGGGGGGCGGGGTTAAACCTTACCCGGCTCAAAGGAGTGCTCCAGGGGCAGGGAGCAGGGCTCGGTGTCCGAGGGCTGCCACGGAGGGGAGGGGCATGGGGGACAGCCTCATTAATATGCATGAGCTACCCCCTCATTAATATGGATGAGCAGAAGCAGAGCTCATGGGGCACCCTTATTAATCAGCTAATAAGCACTAATGGGTGCCCATCGTTAATAGTAATGAGATTAATCACACACACCCCGACTGTCCCCTCATTAATATTAATGAGATTAATCACACCCACCCCCGACTGTCCCCTCATTAATATTAATGAGATTAATCAGGCCCCACCTCTAAGCAAGCCGTCACCTCATTAATATTAATGAATTGACCAGACACCCCACCCCCTTCCCTTAATATTAATGAGATTAATCAGGCCCCTCCTCTAAGCAGGCTGTCACCTCATTAATATTAATGAATTAACCAGACACCACCACCCCCACCCCCAATTAATATTAATGAGATTATTCAGGCCCCTCCTCTTAAGTGGGCTGTCACCTCATTAATATTAATGAATTGGTCAGACACCCCTCCATTAATACTAATGAGATTTATCAGGCCCTTCCTCTAAGTAGGCCATCAACTCATTAATATAAATGAATTGATCAACCATTAATATTAATGAGATTATTCAGGCCCCTCCTCTAAGTGGGCTGTCGCCTCAGTAATATTAATGAATTGATCAGACACCCTTCCATTAATACTAATGAGATCAGGCCCCTCCTCTAAGTAGGCCATCAACTCATTAATATTAATGATTTGATCAGACACCCCTCCATTCATATTAATGAGATCAATCATGCCCCTCCTCTAAGTGGGCGGTCGCCTCATTAATATTAATGAATTGATCACACACCTCATTAATATTCATGATTACGCTACTACATCAGTTAATAACAAGCTATAATGTATGTTTTCCTGTCCCTCATTAATACACACGATTAAACAGCTTCGCTCATTAATATTAATAAGGTTTAATATTCTTATTAATATTAATGCAACGTGTATAACCCATGGAATCATTAATATTAATGACCTTCAGCGCACACTGTCGACAATATTAATGAGACCTAATCACGGGAGGCCCCTCCTAATTAGCATACATATCTTCATGAATATTAACGAGACTTAATTCATTAATATTAACGAGCTGTTCACTCCTTCGCTGGTACTAACGAACTCGGCGCTCATTTACCCCGCCATTAACCCTTATTACACCCCCCACCCCCCTCGCCCCACCCCCTCATTAATATTAATGAGCACACCCCACCTCCACCCCTCACGCGGCGGCCCACGTGACCGCGCGCCCCCCTCCATGAATATTAACCCTCCCCACCCCGCCAAAAGCCGCCCCACCCCCCAAACCACGCCCCCCTCAAACCACGCCCCCTTATCATGCATATTCATGAGCTCACCCTCAACCCGGCCCCCCCCCGGCCGCCTCCCGCCAGCAGCAGCCACAGCGCCGCCGCCGCCGCCATCTTGGCCGCCATCTTGGCCGCGCGGGGCACGCCGGGAAGGAAGGGGGGGGGCGTGGCTAAAACGGGGTTGTGGGGGCGTGGCGCAAAAAGGAGGGGGCGTGGTTAAAAGGGTGCGCGGTTAAAACGGGGTTGTGGGGGCGTGGTTAAAGGGGGGCGTGGCTAAAACGGGGCTGTGGCTCCGGGGAGAGCTCAGAAGGGGGGCGTGGCTAAAACACGGCTGTGGGGGGCGTGGCTCTAAAGGGGGCGGGATTGAAAGGGGGCGTGGTTAAATCAGGGCTGTGGGGGCGTGGGCTCAGAAGGGGGCGTGGTTTAAAGGGGCGTGGCTAAAACAGGGCTGTGGGGGCATGGGTCTGGTGTGGGCTCAAAAGGGGGCGTGGTTTAAAAGGGGCTGTGGGGGGCGTGGTTTAGACGGGGCTGTGGTGGGCGTGGCCTCGGGATGGACTAAAAGGGGGGCGTGGCTAAAAGGGGGCGTGGCTAAAAACAGGGCTGTGGGGGCCTGGCTCCGTGGGTGGGCTCAAAAGGAGGGCGTGGTTAGAAGGGGGCGTGGTTTAAACGGGGCTGTGGAGGCGTGGCCCCGGGGGTGGACTCAAGGGGGGGGCGTGGTTTAAAGGGGGCGTGGCTTAGCGGGCGCCCTTAAAAGGGCCGCGGGCGCCATCTTGAGGCGTCTCGGCGCCATCTTGAGCGGCGGCAGCGCCGGGGGCCCGAGCATCCGGTAGCTCCGTGTGTGCCCCCCCCCGGTCCCGGTCCTCATCCGGATCCTTCCCGGTCCTCATCCGGATCCTTCCCGGGTCCTGATCCCCCCCCTTTCTCCCCCGGTCCCCACCGCCCGCCATGGGCCGGCTGCGGCGCTGCCTGGCCCGAGGGGAGCTGGGGCCGCTGAGGGAGCTGCGGCTGCTGGAGGGGGAGTTCCTGCAGGTGAGGGGAGAGTGCCCCATAGACCCTATATAGGACATGTATTGGCCTTATATAGCCCCATAGACCCTATATAGCACATGTATTGGCCTTATATAGCCCCATAGACCCTATATAGGACATGTATTGGCCTTATATAGCCCCATAGACCCTATATAGCACATGTATTGGCCTTATATAGCCCCATAGACCCTATATAGCACATGTATTGGCCTTATATAGCCCCTATAGACCCTATATAGGACATGTATCGGCCTTATATAGCCCCTATAGACCCTATATAGGACATGTATTGGCCTTATATAGCCCCATAGACCCTATATAGGACATGTATTGGCCTTATATAGCCCCATAGACCCTATATAGCACATGTATTGGCCTTATATAGACCCTATAGACCCTATATAGCACATGTATCGGCCTTATATAGCCCCCATAGACCCTATATAGGACATGTATTGGCCTTATATAGCCCCCATAGACCCTATATAGGACATGTATCGGCCTTATATAGCCCCATAGACCCTATATAGCACATGTATCGGCCTTATATAGCCCCATAGACCCTATATAGCACATTTATTGGCCTTTATAGACCCTATAGACCCTATATAGCACATGTATTGGCCTTATATAGCCCCTATAGACCCTATATAGCACATGTATTGGCCTTATATAGCCCCTATAGACCCTATATAGCACATGTATCGGCCTTATATAGCCCCTATAGACGCTATATAGCACATGTATTGGCCTTATATAGCCCCTATAAGACCCTATATAGCACATGTATTGGCCTTATATAGCCCCCATAGACCCTATATAGCACATTTATTGGCCTTTATAGACCCTATAGACCCTATATAGCACATGTATTGGCGTTATATAGCCCCTATAGACCCTATATAGCACATGTATTGGCCTTATATAGACCCTATAGACCGTATATAGCACATGTATTGGCCTTATATAGCCCCTATAGACCCTATATAGGACATGTATTGGCCTTTATACACCCTATAGACCCTATATAGGACATGTATCGGCCTTATATAGACCCTGTAGACCCTATATAGCACATGTATTGGCCTTATATAGCCCCTATATAGCACATGTATTGGCCTTATATAGCCCCTATAGACCCTATATAGCACATGTATTGGCCTTATATAGCCCCTATAGACCCTATATAGCACATGTATTGGCCTTATATAGCCCCATAGACCCTATATAGCACATGTATTGGCCTTATATAGCCTGTATAGATCCTATATAGCACATATATCAGCTTATATAGCCTGTATAGCCCCTATATAGCACATATATCAGCCTTATATAGCCTGTATAGACCCTATATAGCACATATATTGGCCTTATAGAGCTCCTATAGACCCTATATAGCACATTTATCGGCCTTACATAGACCCTATGTATCACGTATATCGTCGTTATATAGCCTGTGAGTGGCTCTATAGACCCTATCATTGTTAGATGCCTTATATAGCACCCTATATCCCATATATCATCATTAGATCTTCTATATCTCATCCTACATCCTATATATCATTATTGGATCCCCTATATGTCACCCTATACCCCACCTCCCATCACTATATCCCCTATATCTCCCCCTATACCCCACCTCCCATCACTATATCCCCTATATCCCACCTCCCATCACTATATCCCCTATAACCCTCCCTATACTCCACCTCCCATCACTATACCCCTATACCCCACCCTATATCCCACCTCCCGTCACTATATCTCCTATATCCCACCTCCCATCACTATATCCCCTATATCCCACCTCCCATCACTATATCCCCCATACCCCACCTCCCATCACTATATCCCCTATACCCCACCCCATACCCCACTTCCCATCACTATATCCCCTATACCCCACCTCCCATCACTATATCCCCTATACCCCCCCTCCCATCACTATATCCCCTATACCCCACCTCCCATCACTATATCCCCTATACCCCCCCTCCCATCACTATATCCCCTATACCCCACCTCCCATCACTATATCCCCTATACCCCCCCTCCCATCACTATATCCCCTATACCCCACCCCATACCCCACCTCCCATCACTATATCCCCTATACCCCACCTCCCATCACTATATCCCCCATACCCCCCCTCCCATCACTATATCCCCTATACCCCACCTCCCATCACTATATCCCCTATACCCCACCTCCCATCACTATATCCCCTGTACCCCCCCTCCCATCACTATATCCCCTATACCCCACCCCATACCCCACCTCCCATCACTATATCCCCTATACCCCACCTCCCATCACTATATCCCCCATACCCCCCCTCCCATCACTATATCCCCTATACCCCCCCTCCCATCACTATATCCCCTATATCCCCCCCTATACCCCACCTCCCATCACTATATCCCCTATACCCCCCCTCCCATCACTATATCCCCTATACCCCCCCTCCCATCACTATATCCCCTATACCCCCCCTCCCATCACTATATCCCCTATACCCCCCCTCCCATCTCTGTACCCCCTATATCCCACCCCATACCCCACCTGTGTTCCCGCTCCGTCCCCACAGGTGACCCGCACCGGGGACCCCGCCGGCCCCCTCACCGTGGCCATCGCTGCCTCCTGCCCTCAGCTCCCTGCCCCCGACCTCCTGCTCCTGGCCCGGCCGCTGCCTCCCTCCCCGCAGGACCCCGAGGAGCTGCAGCTCTTGGGGTGCGTCCCTGTGCATGCATCCCAATGCATCCCGGTGCATCCCAATGCATCCCAATGCATCCCAATGCATCCCGGTGCATCCCGATGGATCCCGATGGATCCCGGTGCATCCCGGTGCATCCCAATGCATCCCGGTGCATCCCAATGCATCCCAATGCATCCCGGTGCATCCCGATGGATCCCGATGCATCCCGGTGGATCCCGGTGCATCCCAGTGCATCCCGATGGATCCCGGTGGATCCCGGTGCATCCCGATGGATCCCGATGGATCCCGGTGCATCCCGGTGCATCCCGATGCATCCCGGTGCATCCCAATGCATCCCGATGGATCCCAATGCATCCCGATGGATGCCAATGCATCCTGGTGGATCCCGGTGCATCCCAGTGCATCCCGATGGATCCCGGTGGATCCCGATGGATCCCGATGGATCCCGGTGCATCCCGGTGCATCCCGGTGCATCCCGATGGATCCCAATGCATCCCGGTGGATCCCGGTGCATCCCGGTGCATCCCGATGGATCCCAATGCATCCCAATGCATCCCGGTGCATCCCGGTGCATCCCGGTGCATCCCAATGCATCCCGATGGATCCCGGTGCATCCCGGTGCATCCCGGTGGATCCCGGTGCATCCCAGTGCATCCCAATGCATCCCGATGGATCCCGGTGCATCCCGGTGGATCCCGGTGCATCCCGGTGGATCCCAATGCATCCCGGTGGATCCCGGTGCATTCCGATGGATCCCAATGCATCCCGGTGGATCCCGGTGCATCCCGATGGATCCCAATGCATCCCGGTGCATCCCGGTGCATCCCAATGCATCCTGATGGATGCCGGTGGATCCCAATGGATCCCGGTGCATCCCGATGGATCCCGGTGGATCCCGATGCATCCCGATGGATCCCAATGCATCCCAATGCATCCCGGTGGATCCTGATGGATCTCAATGGATCCTGATGGATCCCGATGCATCCCAATGGATCCTGACAGATCTCGATGGATCCCGATGCACCTCCGATCGATCCCAGTTGGATCCCAATTCACCCCAATAGATCCCAAATGGATCCCAATGCACCCCAATGGCTCCTGGTGGATCCCAGTTGGATCCTGATGGATCCCAATGCACCCCAATTGATCCCAAATGGATCCCAGTTGGATCTCGATGGATCCCAATGCACCCCAAATGGATCCCAGTTGGGTCCCGATGGACTCCAATGGATCCTGATGGATCCCAAAGCACCCCAATGGATCCCAATGGATCCCAGTGCACCCCGATGGATCCCAGTTGGATCCCGATGGACCCCTATGGACCCAAATGGATCCCAATGCACCCTAATGGATCCCAGTGGATCCCAATGCACCCCAATGGACCCCAATGCACCTCAATGGATCCCAATGGGTCCCTGTGCACCCCAATGGACCCCAATGGACCCCAATGGATCCCAATGGGTCCCTATGCACCCCAATGCACCCCAATGGACCCCAATGGGTCCCTATGCACCCCAATGCACCCCAATGGGTCCCAATGCACCCCAATGGATCCCGATGGGTCCCAATGGATCCCAATGCACCCCAATGGGTCCAGATGGACCCCAATGCACCCTGATGGACCCCAATGGGTCCCAATGGATCCCGATGGACCCCAATGGATCCCGATGGACCCCAATGCACCTCGATGGATCCCAATGGGTCCCTATGCACCCCAATGGACCCCAATGCACCCCAATGGGTCCGGATGGACCCCAATGCACCCTGATGGACCCCAATGGGTCCCAATGGACCCCAAAGCACCTCAATGGACCCCAATGCACCTCAATGGATCCCAATGGGTCCCAATGCACCCCAATGGATCCCAATGCACCCCAATGGATCCCAATGCACCTCAATGGATCCCAATGCACCCCAATGGATCCCAATGGATCCCAATGCACCTCAATGGATCCCAATGCACCCCAATGGATCCCAATGGATCCCAATGGACCCCAATGGCTCCCAATGCACCCCAATGGCTCCCAATGGACCCCAATGGATCCCAATGGCTCCCAATGGACCCCAATAGATCCCAATGGCTCCCAATGGACCCCAATGGACCCCAATGGCTCCCAATGGACCCCAATGGCTCCCAATGGCTCCCAATGGACCCCAATGGATCCCAATGGCTCCCAATGGACCCCAATGGCTCCCAATGGCTCCCAATGGACCCCAATGGACCCCCCAATGGCTCCCAATGGCTCCCAATGGCTCCCGATGGATCCCAATGGCTCCCAATGGACCCCAATGGATCCCAATGGCTCCCCCCTCTCTCCGCAGGCTCTTCCCGCTCGCCGCTGTCCGCCTCTCGCTCTGGAGCCGTCGGCGGCACCGGCTCCGGGTGCTCCTGGCCTCGGGGCGCTGCTTCCTCGTGCAGCTCCTGGCCCCGCCCCCGCGGAGTCCCCGCCCCTTCTTCAGCCGCTGGCTCCGCCTCCTCTTCCTCCTCCACGCCCCTAATAAAGGGGGCGGGGGAGATGGGGACACCCCCATCGCGCGCTGATGTCGTCCCCCCCCCGCCCCATAAGCACGGACGCAGGTTGGAAGGTTCCATTTATTCAATGGGGGGGGGGGGGGTCCATTCAGCCCCTCGAGTGATGCAGACCTAAAGGGGGGGGGGGGTGGTGTCATTGGGGGGGGGGCAGCATCCCCCTATTAGGGAATGATCCATCCCCCCCCCCCCCCCAAATGGATGCCCCTAATGGAGGGGCCCCCAATGTGAACCCCGAGTTTCCCACCTCATTGAACCCCACCATTGATTAATCCCCCCATTGATTAACCCCCCCATTGATTAACCCCCCCATAATTAACCCCCAATTAACCCCCCCACATTAACCCCTCATTAAACCCCACCATTGATTAATCCCCCCATAATTAACCCCCCAATTAATCCCCCCATTGATTAACCCCCCCATAATTAACCCCCAATTAAACCCCCCCATTGATTAACCCCCCCATAATTAACCCCTCAATTAATCCCCCCACATTAACCCCTCATTAAACCCCACCATTGATTAACCCCCCATAATTAACCCCCCAATTAATCCCCCCATTGATTAACCCCCCATAATTAACCCCCAATTAAACCCCCCATTGATTAACCCCCCCATAATTAACCCCTCAATTAATCCCCCCACATTAACCCCTCATTAAACCCCCCCATTGATTAACCCCCAGTTAATCCCCCCACATTAACCCCCCCATTGATTAACTCCCCATAATTAACCCTCACTTAAACCCCCCAATTAATCACCCCATATTAATCCCCCATTAAACACTCCCATAATTAACCCCCATAATTAACCCCCAATTAATCACCCCCATATTAATCCCCCCATTAAACACTCCAATAATTAACCCCCATAATTAACCCCCAATTAATCACCCCATATTAATTCTCCATTAAACACTCCCATAATTCCCCCCCATAATTAACCCCCCACTAATCACCCCCATATTAACCCCCATTAAACACTCCTATAACTAACCCCCAATTAATCGCCCCCAAATTAACCCCCTCAACCCCTAATTAAACCCCATCAATTCCCCCCAAATAGCACCCCCAATTAAAACACCCCCTAATAACCCCCCAAATTAACCCCCCATAATTAACCCCCCCTCACCATCTCATCCAGCCGCTGCTCTCACTGGGGCACTGTGTGGGGACAGAAGAGGGTTGGGGGTGTTGGGAAGACCCCCCCCATTAACCGCCCCATTGCCCCCCCCAACACCCCATTGACCCTCCCCATATCCCCACTGGGACCCCATTGACCCCCTCTATGACCCCATTGACCCCCTCTATAACCCCATTGACCACCCCATTGACCCCCTCTATGACCCCATTGACCCCCCACTGACCCCCTCTATGACCCCATTGACCCCCTCTATGACCCCATTGACCACCCCACTGACCCCATCTATGACCCCATTGACCCCCTCTATGACCCCACTGACCACCCCATTGACCCTCTCTATGCCCCACTGCGACCCCATTGGGACCCCACTGACCCCATACCCCCCTCACCCCATATCTCCAGCCGACACTCGGTGCCTCCCCCAGCTCGTTGACTGCCCCATTGACCCCCCATTGACCCCATTGACATTCCATTGATCCCACTGACACCCCATTGACCCCATTGACACCCCATAGCCCCCCATAGCCCCCCTCACCCCGTATCTCCAGCCGACACTCAGTGAGGGCCTCCCCCAGCTCGTTGACCGCCGCATTGACCCCATTGACACCCCATTGACATCCCATTGACCCCATTGACGCCCCATTGACCCCATTGACACCCCATAGGCCCCCATAGCCCCCCTCACCCCGTATCTCCAGCCGACACTCAGTGAGGGCCTCCCCCAGCTCGTTGACTGCCGCATTGACCCCATTGACACCCCATTGACCCCATTGACACCCCATTGACCCCATTGACATTCCATTGATCCCATTGACACCCCATTGACCCCATTGACACCCCATAGCCCCCCATAGCCCCCCTCACCCCGTATCTCCAGCCGACACTCAGTGAGGGCCTCCCCCAGCTCGTTGACCGCCACATTGACCCCATTGACACCCCATTGACCCCATTGACATTCCATTGATCCCATTGACACCCCATTGACCCCATTGACACCATTGACAGCCCATAGCCCCCCATAGTCCCCCTCACCCCGTATCTCCAGCCGACACTCAGTGAGGGCCTCCCCCAGCTCGTTGACCGCCGCATTGACCCCATTGACACCCCATTGACATCCCATTGACCCCATTGACGCCCCATTGACCCCATTGACACCCCATAGGCCCCCATAGCCCCCCTCACCCCGTATCTCCAGCCGACACTCAGTGAGGGCCTCCCCCAGCTCGTTGACCGCCGCATTGACCCCATTGACACCCCATTGACCCCATTGACATCCCATTGACCCCATTGACATTCCATTGATCCCATTGACACCCCATTGACCCCATTGACTCCATTGACACCCCATAGCCCCCCATAGCCCCCCTCACCCCGTATCTCCAGCCGACACTCAGTGAGGGCCTCCCCCAGCTCGTTGACCACCGCATTGACCCCATTGACACCCCATTGATCCCATTGACACCCCATTGACCCCATTGACACCCCATTGACCCCATTGACATTCCATTGATCCCATTGACATCCCATTGACCCCATTGACATTCCATTGACCCCATTGACACCGCATAGGCCCCCATAGCCCCCCTCACCCCGTATCTCCAGCCGACACTCAGTGAGGGCCTCCCCCAGCTCGTTGACCGCCGCATTGACCCCATTGACACCCCATTGATCCCATTGACATTCCATTGATCCCATTGACACCCCATTGACCCCATTGACCCCCATTGACACCCCATAGCCCCCCATAGCCCCCCTCACCCCGTATCTCCAGCCAACACTCAGTGAGGGCTTCCCCCAGCTCGTTGACCGCCGCATTGACCCCATTGACACCCCATTGACATCCCATTGACCCCATTGACGCCCCATTGACCCCATTGACACCCCATAGGCCCCCATAGCCCCCCTCACCCCGTATCTCCAGCCGACACTCAGTGAGGGCCTCCCCCAGCTCGTTGACTGCCGCATTGACCCCATTGACACCCCATTGACCCCATTGACCCCCCATTGACCCCATTGACATTCCATTGATCCCACTGACACCCCATTGACCCCATTGACACCCCATAGCCCCCCATAGCCCCCCTCACCCCGTATCTCCAGCCGACACTCAGTGAGGGCCTCCCCCAGCTCGTTGACCGCCGCATTGACCCCATTGACACCCCATTGACATCCCATTGACCCCATTGACGCCCCATTGACCCCATTGACACCCCATAGGCCCCCATAGCCCCCCTCACCCCGTATCTCCAGCCGACACTCAGTGAGGGCCTCCCCCAGCTCGTTGACTGCCGCATTGACCCCATTGACACCCCATTGACCCCATTGACACCCCATTGACCCCATTGACATTCCATTGATCCCATTGACACCCCATTGACCCCATTGACACCCCATAGCCCCCCATAGCCCCCCTCACCCCGTATCTCCAGCCGACACTCAGTGAGGGCCTCCCCCAGCTCGTTGACCGCCACATTGACCCCATTGACACCCCATTGACCCCATTGACATTCCATTGATCCCATTGACACCCCATTGACCCCATTGACACCATTGACAGCCCATAGCCCCCCATAGTCCCCCTCACCCCGTATCTCCAGCCGACACTCAGTGAGGGCCTCCCCCAGCTCGTTGACCGCCGCATTGACCCCATTGACACCCCATTGACATCCCATTGACCCCATTGACGCCCCATTGACCCCATTGACACCCCATAGGCCCCCATAGCCCCCCTCACCCCGTATCTCCAGCCGACACTCAGTGAGGGCCTCCCCCAGCTCGTTGACCGCCGCATTGACCCCATTGACACCCCATTGACCCCATTGACATCCCATTGACCCCATTGACATTCCATTGATCCCATTGACACCCCATTGACCCCATTGACTCCATTGACACCCCATAGCCCCCCATAGCCCCCCTCACCCCGTATCTCCAGCCGACACTCAGTGAGGGCCTCCCCCAGCTCGTTGACCACCGCATTGACCCCATTGACACCCCATTGATCCCATTGACACCCCATTGACCCCATTGACACCCCATTGACCCCATTGACATTCCATTGATCCCATTGACATCCCATTGACCCCATTGACATTCCATTGACCCCATTGACACCGCATAGGCCCCCATAGCCCCCCTCACCCCGTATCTCCAGCCGACACTCAGTGAGGGCCTCCCCCAGCTCGTTGACCGCCGCATTGACCCCATTGACACCCCATTGATCCCATTGACATTCCATTGATCCCATTGACACCCCATTGACCCCATTGACCCCCATTGACACCCCATAGCCCCCCATAGCCCCCCTCACCCCGTATCTCCAGCCAACACTCAGTGAGGGCTTCCCCCAGCTCGTTGACCGCCGCATTGACCCCATTGACACCCCATTGACATCCCATTGACCCCATTGACGCCCCATTGACCCCATTGACACCCCATAGGCCCCCATAGCCCCCCTCACCCCGTATCTCCAGCCGACACTCAGTGAGGGCCTCCCCCAGCTCGTTGACCGCCGCATTGACCCCATTGACACCCCATTGACCCCATTGACATTCCATTGATCCCATTGACACCCCATTGACCCCATTGACCCCATTGACACCCCATAGCCCCCCATAGCCCCCCTCACCCCGTATCTCCAGCCGACACTCAGTGAGGGCCTCCCCCAGCTCGTTGACCGCCGCATTGACCCCATTGACACCCCATTGACATCCCATTGACCCCATTGACGCCCCATTGACCCCATTGACACCCCATAGGCCCCCATAGCCCCCCTCACCCCGTATCTCCAGCCGACACTCAGTGAGGGCCTCCCCCAGCTCGTTGACCGCCGCATTGACCCCATTGACACCCCATTGACCTCATTGACATCCCATTGACCCCATTGACATTCCATTGATCCCATTGACACCCCATTGACCCCATTGACCCCATTGACACCCCATAGCCCCCCATAGCCCCCCTCACCCCGTATCTCCAGCCGACACTCAGTGAGGGCCTCCCCCAGCTCGTTGACCGCCACATTGACCCCATTGACACCCCATTGACCCCATTGACATTCCATTGATCCCATTGACACCCAATTGACCCCATTGACACCATTGACAGCCCATAGCCCCCCATAGTCCCCCTCACCCCGTATCTCCAGCCGACACTCAGTGAGGGCCTCCCCCAGCTCGTTGACCGCCGCATTGACCCCATTGACACCCCATTGACCCCATTGACACCCCATTGACCCCATTGACATTCCATTGATCCCATTGACACCCCATTGACCCCATTGACACCCCATAGCCCCCCATAGCCCCCCTCACCCCGTATCTCCAGCCGACACTCAGTGAGGGCCTCCCCCAGCTCGTTGACCGCCCGGCAGCCGTAGACGCCGCCATCGAAGGGCCCCGGTTTGCGGATGAGCAACGTGAGCACCCCCTGCGAGTGCCGCGCCAGGAAGCGGGGGTCCGGGCCCAGCACCACCTGGTTCTTGAGCCACACCACCTTGGGCTGCGCACAGGGACCCACGGTGAGACCCACAGGGACCCATAGGGACCCATAGGGACCGATAGGGACACATAGAGACACATAGAGACCCATAGAGACCCCATAGGGACCCATAGGGACCCCAGCACCACCTGGTTCTTGAGCCACACCACCTTGGGCTGCGCACGGGGACCCACGGTGAGACCCATAGGGACCCATAGGGACACATAGGGACACACAGAGACCCCATAGGGACCCATAGGAAGCCATAGGGACCCCAGCACCACCTGGTTCTTGAGCCACACCACCTTGGGCTGCGCACCGGGACCCACGGTGAGACCCACAGGGACCCATAGGGACACATAGGGACCCATAGGGACACATAGGGACACGTAGAGACCCATAGGGACCCATAGGGACACATAGAGATCCCATAGGGACCCATAGGGACCCCAGGACCACCTGGTTCTTGAGCCACACCACTTTGGGCTGCGCACGGGGACCCACGGTGAGACCCATAGGGACACATAGAGACCCCATAGGGACCCATAGAGACCCCATAGGGACCCATAGGGACACATAGAGACCCCATAGGGACACATAGGGACACACAGAGACCCCATAGGGACACACAGAGACCCCATAGGGACACATAGGGACCCCATAGGGACACATAGGGACCCATAGGGACTCCATAGGGACCCATAGGGACACATAGAGACCCCATAGGGACCCATAGAGAACCATAGGGACACATAAGGACACATAGAGAAACCATAGGGACCCATAGGGACCCATAGTGAGACCCATAGAGACCCATAGAGCGTGAAATGAGCCCCAAACCACCCCCAAACCAGTGTAAAACGATGTCAAAGCATCCCCAAACCAGCTTGAAATGAGCCCAACCCAACCCCCCTCAGATCCTCCCCCCATCGCCCCCCACTTATGGGGCAGAGGGGGACCCCAACCCCTCCCCATAGCCCCCCCTTACCTTGGGGTACCCACGCACAGCGCAGTTGAGGGCCGTGCTGTACCCGGCCACCGCGCTGCGGTCCACGAGTGGGGTGAGGAACTGGGGGGCAGAGCGGAAGTCGTGCTCCTGGAACTTGGGGGGCTTCAGGTTCAGACCTGGGGGGGGGGGAAACAGGGACAGCTTCAATGGGGGGAACCCCCCTGCACCCCAAAAGGGAGCCTTGAGGGTGCTTTGGGGATGCTTTGGGGATGCTTTGGGATGCAGGAGGAGTGCTCCAGCCCCACATAACCCCACATAAACCCCATTTGGACCCCCACAGACTGCTTTAGGGATGCTTTGGGGATGCTTTGGGATGCAGGAGGAGTGCTCCAGCCCCACATAACCCCACATAAACCCCATTTGGACCCCCACAGACTGCTTTAGGGATGCTTTGGGGATGCTTTGGGATGCAGGAGGAGTGCTCCAGCCCCACATAACCCCACATAAACCCCATTAGGACCGCCACAGACTGCTTTAGGGATGCTTTGGGGATGCTTTGGGATGCAGGAGGAGTGGTCCAGCCCCACATAACCCCACATAAACCCCATTAGGACCCCCCCGACTGCTTTAGGGATGCTTTGGGGATGCTTTGGGATGCAGGAGGAGTGCTCCAGCCCCACATAACCCCACATAAACCCCATTAGGACCCCCCCGACTGCTTTAGGGATGCTTTAGGGATGCTTTGGGGATGCTTTGGGGATGCTTTGGGATGCAGGAGGAGTGCTCCAGCCCCACATAACCCCACATAAACCCCATTAGGACCGCCACAGACTGCTTTAGGGATGCTTTGGGGATGCTTTGGGATGCAGGAGGAGTGCTCCAGCCCCACATAACCCCACATAAACCCCATTAGGACCCCTCCTGACTGCTTTAGGGATGCTTTGGGGATGCTTTAGGGATGCTTTGGGGATGCTTTGGGGATGCTTTGGGATGCAGGAGGAGTGCTCCAGCCCCACATAACCCCACATAAACCCCATTAGGACCCCTCCTGACTGCTTTAGGGATGCTTTGGGGATGCTTTAGGGATGCTTTGGGGATGCTTTGGGGATGCTTTGGGATGCAGGAGGAGTGCTCCAGCCCCACATAACCCCACATAAACCCCATTAGGACCCCTCCTGACTGCTTTAGGGATGCTTTGGGGATGCTTTGGGATGCAGGAGGAGTGGTCCAGCCCCACATAACCCCACATAAACCCCATTTGGACCCCCACAGACTGCTTTAGGGATGCTTTGGAGATGCTTTGGGATGCAGGAGGAGTGCTCCAGCCCCACATAACCCCCCCAAACCCCATTAGGACCCCCCCTGACTGCTTTAGGGATGCTTGGGGATGCTTTGGGGAATCTCCACCCCCCAAACACCCCATAACCCCTCAAACCCCCATAACCCCCTCAACCCCCCCAATAACCCCCCCAAACCCGTTTTAGACCCCATCATCCTCCCCCCCGACCTGCTTTAGGGATGCTCCAAGCCCCCCATAACCCCCCCAACCCCCCCATAACCCCCCTCAAACCCCCATAACCCCCCTCAAACCCCCCCAAACCCCCCCTCAAACCCCCCAACCCCCCCAAACCCTCCCTCAAACCCCCCAACCCCCCCCAAACCCTTTAACCCCCCCATAACCCCCCTCAAACCCCCCCATAACCCCCCCATAACCCCCCTCAAACCCCCCCAAACCCCCCCTCAAACCCTCTTCAAACTCCCCCAAACCCCTTTAAACCCCCCCATAAGCCCCCCCATAACCCCCCAAACCCCCCAACCCCCCTCAAACCCCCCCATAACCCCCCTCAAATCCCCTTCAAACCCCCCCAACCCCCCAAACCCCTTTAACCCCCCCAAACCCCCCCTCAAACCCCCCATATCCCCCCCCAAACCCCCCATAACCCCCCTCAAACCCCCCCATAACTCCCCCATAACCCCCCCAAACCCCCCCTCAAACCCCCTTCAAACCCCCCCAACCCCCCCAAACCCCTTTAAACCCCCCCATACCCCCCCCATACCCCCCATATCCCCCCCCAAACCCCCCATAACCCCCTCAAACCCCCCCATAACTCCCCCATAACCCCCCCAAACCCCCTTCAAACCCCCCCAACCCCCCTCAAACCCCCCCAACCCCCCCAAAACCCCTTTAACCCCCCCATAACCCCCCCAAACCCCCCATAACCCCCCCCAACCCCCCCCTCAAACCCCCTTCAAACCCCCCCAACCCCCCCAAACCCCTTCAAACCCCCCCAACCCCCCCTCAAACCCCCCCAAAACCCCTTTAACCCCCCCATAACCCCCCCATACAACCCCCATAACCCCCCCCATAACCCCCCACACCCCCCCCCGTTACCAGCTTTGGCGATGCGGGCGCTGTTGGTGCTCAGCGCCGCGCTCTCGCTCAGCCCGCACTGGTTCTCGCTGTACACCCGGAACAGGTACTCATTGCCCATCACCAGCTCGGACACCGTGCACCGCGCCTGCCGGTTGTGCTCGTACACCGTGAACCACTCCTGAAGGTACAGGGGGGGACGGGGGGGGGGTTGGTGGGGGCTTCCTATGGGGCTTTAGGGGGCTCCTATGGGGCGCTTATGGGGGTTTGAGGGCTCCTATGGGGGTTTAGAGGGGCTTTTATGGGGGTTAAGGGGCTCCTATGGGGCTTTAGGGGGCTCCTATGGGGCGCTTATGGGGGTTTGAGGGCTCCTATGGGGGTTTAGAGAGGGTTTTATGGGGGTTTAGGGGCTCCTATGGGGCTTCAGGGGGCTCCTATGGGGCGCTTATGGGGGTTTGGGGGCTCCTATGGGGGTTTAGAGGGGGTTTTATGGGGGCTTGGGGGCTCCTATGGGGGTTTAGGGGGCTCCTATGGGGGTTTAGAGGGGGTTTTATGGGGGTTTGGGGGCTCCTATGGGGCTTCAGGGGGCTCCTATGGGGCTCTTATGGGGCATTGGGGGCTCCTATGGGGGTTTAGAGAGGGTTTTATGGGGGTTTGGGGGCTCCTATGGGCCTTCAGGGGGCTCCTATGGGGCGCTTATGGGGGTTTGAGGGCTCCTATGGGGGTTTAGAGGGGCTTTTATGGGGGTTTAGGGGCTCCTATGGGGCTTCAGGGGGCTCCTATGGGGCGCTTATGGGGGTTTGAGGGCTCCTATGGGGGTTTAGAGGGGCTTTTATGGGGGTTTAGGGGGCTCCTATGGGGCTTCAGGGGGCTCCTATGGGGGCGCTTATGGGGGTTTGGGGGCTCCTATGGGGGTTTAGAGGGGGTTTTATGGGGGCTTGGGGGCTCCTATGGGGGTTTGGGGGCTCCTATGGGGGTTTGGGGGCTCCTATGGGGGTTTAGAGGGGGTTTTATGGGGTTTGGGGGCTCCTATGGGGGTTTAGGGGGCTCCTATGGGGGTTTAGGGGGCTTTTATGGGGCTTTGGAGGCTTCGATGGGGGTTTGGGGGCCTCCTATGAAGCTTTAGGGGGCTCCTATGGGGCTCTTATGGGGCTTTGGGGGCTCCTATGGCGGTTTAGAGGGGGTTTTATGGGGGTTTGGGGGCTCCTATGGGGCTTTGGGGGGCTCCTATGGGGGTTTAGAGGGGGTTTTATGGGGGTTTGGGGGCTCCTATGGGGGTTTAGAGGGGGGTTTTATGGGGGTTTGGAGGCTCCTATGGGGCTTCGGGGGGCTCCTATGGGGCGCGTATGGCGCTTTGGGGGCTCCTATGGGGGTTTAGAGGGGGTTTTATGGGGGCTTGGGGGCTCCTATGGGGGTTTAGGGGGCTCCTATGGGGGTTTAGAGGGGGTTTTATGGGGGTTTGGGGGCTCCTATGGGGCTTCAGGGGGCTCCTATGGGGCTCTTATGGGGCATTGGGGGCTCCTATGGGGGTTTAGAGAGGGTTTTATGGGGGTTTGGGGGCTCCTATGGGCCTTCAGGGGGCTCCTATGGGGCGCTTATGGGGGTTTGGGGGCTCCTATGGGGGTTTAGAGGGGGGTTTTAGGGGGGTTTGGGGGCTCCTATGGGGGTTTAGGGGGCTCCTATGGGGGTTTAGAGAGGGTTTTATGGGGGTTTGGGGGCTCCTATGGGGCTTCAGGGGGCTCCTATGGGGCGCTTATGGGGGTTTGGGGGCTCCTATGGGGGTTTAGAGGGGGTTTTATGGGGGCTTGGGGGCTCCTATGGGGGTTTGGGGGCTCCTATGGGGGTTTGGGGGCTCCTATGGGGGTTTAGAGGGGGTTTTATGGGGGTTTGGGGGCTCCTATGGGGGTTTAGGGGGCTCCTATGGGGGTTTAGGGGGCTTTTATGGGGCTTTGGAGGCTTCGATGGGGGTTTGGGGGCCTCCTATGAAGCTTTAGGGGGCTCCTATGGGGCTCTTATGGGGCTTTGGGGGCTCCTATGGCGGTTTAGAGGGGGTTTTATGGGGGTTTGGGGGCTCCTATGGGGCTTTGGGGGGCTCCTATGGGGGTTTAGAGGGGGTTTTATGGGGGTTTGGGGGCTCCTATGGGGTTTAGAGGGGGTTTTATGGGGGTTTGGAGGCTCCTATGGGGCTTCGGGGGGCTCCTATTATTGCGCGTATGGGGCTTTGGGGGCTCCTATGGGGGTTTAGGGGGCTCCTATGGGGGTTTAGGGGGCTCCTATGGGGGTTTAGAGGGGCTTTTATGGGGCTTTGGGGGCTCCTATGAGGCTTCAGGGGGCTCTTATGGGGCGCTTATGGGGCTTTGGGGGCTCCTATGGGGGTTTAGAGGGGCTTTTATGGGGTTTAGGGGCTCCTATGGGGCTTCAGGGGGCTCCTATGGGGCGCTTATGGGGGTTTGGGGGCTCCTATGGGGGTTTAGAGGGGGTTTTATGGGGGCTTGGGGGCTCCTATGGGGGTTTGGGGGCTCCTATGGGGGTTTGGGGGCTCCTATGGGGGTTTAGAGGGGGTTTTATGGGGTTTGGGGGCTCCTATGGGGGTTTAGGGGGCTCCTATGGGGGTTTAGGGGGCTCCTATGGCGGTTTAGAGGGGCTTTTATGGGGTTTGGGGGCTCCTATGCGGGTTTAGGGGGCTTTTATGGGGCTTTGGAGGCTTCGATGGGGGTTTGGGGGCCTCCTATGAATCTTTAGGGGGCTCCTATGGGCTCTTATGGGGCTTTGGGGGCTCCTATGGCGGTTTAGAGGGGGTTTTATGGGGGTTTGGGGGCTCCTATGGGGCTTTGGGGGGCTCCTATGGGGGTTTAGAGGGGGTTTTATGGGGGTTTGGGGGTTCCTATGGGGGTTTAGAGGGGGTTTTATGGGGGTTTGGAGGCTCCTATGGGGCTTCGGGGGGCTCCTATGGGGCGCGTATGGGCTTTGGGGGCTCCTATGGGGGTTTAGGGGGCTCCTATGGGGGTTTAGGGGGCTCCTATGGGGGTTTAGAGGGGCTTTTATGGGGCTTTGGGGGCTCCTATGAGGCTTCAGGGGGCTCCTATGGGGCGCTTATGGGGCTTTGGGGGCTCCTATGGGGGTTTAGGGGGCTCCTATGGGGGTTTAGAGAGGGTTTTATGGGGGTTTGGGGGCTCCTATGGGGCTTCAGGGGGCTCCTATGGGGCGCTTATGGGGGTTTGGGGGCTCCTATGTGGGTTTAGAGGGGCTTTTATGGGGGTTTGGGGGCTCCTATGGGGGTTTAGGGGGCTCCTATGGGGGTTTAGAGGGGCTTTTACGGGGGTTTGGGGGCTCCTATGGGGGTTTAGGGGGCTCCTATGGGGGTTTAGAGGGGCTTTTATGGGGCTTTGGGGGCTCCTATGGGGGTTTAGGGGGCTCCTATGGGGGTTTAGAGGGGCTTTTATGGGGGTTTGGGGGCTCCTATGCGGGTTTAGGGGGCTAGTATGGGGCTTTAGGGGGCTCCTATGGGGCTCTTATGGGGCATTGGGGGCTCCTATGGGGGTTTAGAGGGGGTTTTATGGGGGTTTGGGGGCTCCTATGGGGCTTCAGGGGGCTCCTATGGGGCTCTTATGGGGCTTTGGGGGCTCCTATGGCGGTTTAGAGGGGGTTTTATGGGGGTTTGGGGGCTCCTATGGGGCTTTGGGGGGCTCCTATGGGGGTTTAGAGGGGGTTTTATGGGGGTTTGGGGGTTCCTATGGGGGTTTAGAGGGGGTTTTATGGGGGTTTGGGGGCTCCTATGGGGGTTTAGGGGGCTTTTATGGGGCTTTGGAGGCTTCGATGGGGGTTTGGGGGCCTCCTATGAAGCTTTAGGGGGCTCCTATGGGGCTCTTATGGGGCTTTGGGGGCTCCTATGGCGGTTTAGAGGGGGTTTTATGGGGGTTTGGGGGCTCCTATGGGGCTTTGGGGGGCTCCTATGGGGGTTTAGAGGGGGTTTTATGGGGGTTTGGGGGCTTCTATGGGGGTTTAGAGGGGGTTTTATGGGGGTTTAGGGGGCTCCTATGGGGGTTTAGGGGGCTCTTATGGGGGTTTAGGGGGCTCCTCTGGGGGTTTAGGGGGCTCCTATGGGGGTTTAGGGGCCTCCTATGGGGCTTTGGGGGCTCCTATGGGGCTCTTATGGGGCTTTAGGGGCTCCTATGGGGCTCTCATGGGGCTTTAGGGGGACTCCTATGGGGGTATGGGGGCTCCTATGGGGGTTTAGGAGCTCTTATGGGGGTTTAGGGGGCTCCTATGGGGGTTTAGGGGGCTCTTATGGGCCTTTGGGGGCTCCTATGGGGATTTGGTGGCCACTGAGGAGTCTATGGGGGCGTTTAGGGGGCAATCCTATGGCCGAGGGGGCCACTGAAGTGGGGTTTGGGGGGCAGTTATGGGTCATGGGGGGGCACTTGGGGGTCGCACCATGGTCCTGGTGTCGGCCTTCTGCACGGTGTAACCGGTGACCTCGGCGTTGCCGTCGTCCGCGGGGGGCTCCCACTCCAGCGCCGCGTTGAAGCCCCACACCTCGGTCACGTGCACGTTGCGGGGGGGGCCCGGGAGGTCTGGTACCGGGGGGGGGCCTTCAGCACCCCAAAACCACCCCGAAACACCCCAAAACACCAAAAAACCACCCCGAAACACCCCAAAACCACCCCAAAACACCCAAAAACCACCCCAAAACACCCCAAAACCTCCCTAAAACCACCCTGAAACACCCCAAAACCACCCCAAAACACCCAAAAACCACCCCGAAACACCCCAAAACACCCAAAAACCACCACAGAACACCCAAAAAGCAGCCCGAAACAGCCAAAAACCACCCCGAAACACCCCAAAATCTCCCTAAAACACCCTAAAACTACCCCAAAACCACCCCAAAACACCCAAAAACCACCCCGAAACACCCAAAAACCACCCTGAAACACCCCAAAACCACCCCAAAACCTCCCTAAAACCACCCTGAAACACCCCAAAACCACTCCGAAACACCCCAAAACCTCCCTAATACACCCCAAAACCTCCCTAATACACCCCAAAACACCCCAAACCCCCCCCCAAAACTCCCCAAACCACCCCGAAACACCCAGAAACCACCCTGAAACACCCCAAAACCACCCCGAAACACCCCAAAAACTCCCTAAAACACCCCAAAACCACCCCAAAACACCCAAAAACCACCCCGAAACACCCCAAAAACTCCCTAAAACACCCAAAAACCACCCCAAAACACCCAAAAACCACCCCGAAACACCCCAAAACCACCCCGAAACACCCCAAAATCTCCCTAAAACACCCTAAAACTACCCCAAAACCACCCCGAAACACCCAAAAACCACCCCGAAACACCCCAAAACCACCCCGAAACACCCAAAAACCATCCTGAAACACCCAAAAACCTCCCTAAAACCACCCCGAAACACCCAAAAACCACCCCGAAACACCCAAAAACCATCCTGAAACACCCCAAAACCACCCCGAAACCACCCTGAAACACCCCAAAACCACCCCGAAACACCCTAAGAACTCCCTAAAACACCCCAAAACTACCCCAAAACACCCAAAAACCACTCCGAAACACCCCAAAACCTCTCTAATACACCCCAAAACCCCCCAAAACCACCCCAAAAACTCCCTAAAACACCCCAAAACTACCCCAAAACACCCAAAAACCACCCCGAAACACCCAAAAACCACCCAGAAACACCCCAAAACCACCCAGAAACACCCCAAAAACTCCCCAAACCACCCCAAAACTACCCCAAAACACCCCAAAACACCCCAAAACCACCCCAAAAACTCCCTAAAACACCCCAAAACTACCCCAAAACACCCAAAAACCACCCCAAAACCTCTCCATGCCCTTTCCCGCGCCCCCCCCCGCCGTTTCCCACGCTCCCCACGCCTTTTCCCGCCCTCCTCATGCCATTTCCCGCTCCCGCAGCGCCCCCTGCCCTTTCCCGCGCTCCCCTCGCCTTTTCCCGCGCCCCTCACACCTTTTCCCGCTCCCCCCACGCCTTTTCCCGCCCGCCCGCCGCCCACAGCGCCCCCTGCCCTTTCCCGCGCCCCGCATAGCTTTTCCCGCCCTCCCCATGACTTTTCCCGCCCTCCCAACACCATTTTCCCGCTCCCGCAGCGCCCCCTGCCGTTTCCCGCCCTCCTAACACCATTTTCCCGCGCCCTCAGCGCCCCCTGCCGTTCCCGCCCTCCTAACACCATTTTCCCGCGCCCTCAGCGCCCCCTGCCGTTTCCCACCCACGACGCGCAGGCGCAGCTCGGCCTCGTCCTCGAGCGCCTCCACGCGCAGGCGCATCCGGTAGGCGCCGGAGTCCTCGCGCGCCGCCGCGCGGATGAAGAAGACGGCGTCGAACGGCGACGTGCGCACGTGCACCGAGCTGCCCAATGGCTGCCCCTCGCGGGACCACGTGACCTGCGGCCGCGGCTTCCCCTGCACATAGAGACCCATAGAGAGCCGTAGAGAACCACAGAGACCCATGGAGAGCCATAGAGACCCATAGGGACCCCATAGGGACCCCATAGAGACCCATGGAGAGCCATAGAGACCCATAGAGACCCATAGAGACACATAGAGAGCCCACAGAGACCCATGGAGACCCATAGAGAGCCCATAGAGACCCATAGAGACCCATAGAGACCCATAGAGAGCCATAGAGACCCATAGAGAGCCATAGAGACACATAGAGACACATAGAGACACATAGAGACACATAGAGAGCCCACAGAGACCCATGGAGACCCATAGAGAGCCCATAGAGACCCATAGAGACCCATGGAGAGCCATAGAGAGCCCATGGAGACCCATAGAGACCCATGGAGAGCCCATGGAGACCCATAGAGAGCCCATGGAGACCCATAGAGAGCCCATAGAGACCCATAGAGACCCATGGAGAGCCATAGAGAGCCCATGGAGACCCACAGAGACCCATAGAGACCCATGGAGAGCCATAGAGAGCCCATAGAGAGCCCATGGAGACTCATAGAGACCCCATAGAGACCCCATAGAGACCCCATGGAGACTCATAGAGACCCCATAGAGACCCCATGGAGACCCATAGAGACCTCGTAGAGACCCCATAGAGACCCATGGAGACCTCATAAAGAACCATAGAGACCCCATAGAGACCTATAGAGACCCCTTACAAACCCCACAGAGACCCCATAGAGACCGAGACCCATAGAGACCTAACAGAAGCCCCATAGAAACCCCACAGAGATACACAGAAACCAGATAGAAATCCCATAGAGACCCACAGAAGCCCCATAGAGACCCCAAAGAAACCCCATAGAGACCCAAAGAAATCACACAGGGACCACGTAGAGACCA